TGTCGTCCGTAATATACACACTCAGATCCTTTACTCTCAACCCGCATTTCCAAGTAACTCCTCAGTCCTTCTGTTAAATTGTTTGCCTGTTGCTTTGATAAGCACGTAACGACTTGGAGCCTTTTCTGTCACGACAGACTTGCATCGTCGTGAACCAGAGGATTCTTTTACTCTGTCTCTGTCGGGTAGTTGCTGTGAGTGTAGGCTGTCGGAGCTGCGGTGAAATCTGGTACTGGACTGGCTGGGGTAAAAGAGAGCCTTGTACACTCAGAATTTGGGTTGTGTTTTATAGACAAAGTTCTGGATAGCTACACAGTGGGTAATATTTGGAGTTAAAACTGTAAAAAAAAAAAAAAATCCTGGGATTTTTATTGTACTTGGTTGAATATTTCCCCTTTGTCGGTGCAGGAGAAGGAATATTTATTGAACATAGCAATTAGTTCTATAATTTGCTGTTCACTTTCAAAACAAACACACACCACCCAACCCCACCAACTTCTTGGTATTGCAATAACGTTTTGTTTCCGGTCCCTTTGGAGTTTTGAAGTGTGGATGGAAAAACCTACGACTACATGTAAACCTTTTTGCCCCTCAATAAAAGTGAATCCCACTGGGCTGTGGTTTCTCTGTCTGTTGTTCCGCACCTCGTGTTGCCGCGGAAGAGAGGTTAAACAAGACCCGACGGGCTGCGTGGGTAGCGATGTCGGCCTTCACAGGAGCCTCGTCTTCTCCGTGAACCAGCGGGTGGTTTTAGGGGGTGACTGAACGGGGCGGGACATCCCACTTTCCCTTGCCTGTGCCCTTGCCAGGGCGGTGGCGAGATGGTTTGAGGAGAGAAGCGCTGTTGACTGTGTTCAGGTTCCTGGCAAGCCTTGCCCTCTGACCTCACTTGCCATGCGGCGGGTTGAGTCGATGCTGGTGCAGCCGAAGGAGCTGGACTAAAAAGCCCTCGCGGCAAAAATCACTTCATCCTGGTTGTCGGGGAATGCCACCGGAAGGGTTGGTCATCATTCTGAGCGGGTAGGCAGAGGAGGTGTCATGTTAACCATTTGTGACTGTCAGTGCCAGGAACTATTAGCAAGTAATTAAAAGGAGCACTTCACACCCATTCAGCTGCTCTAAAAGCTTGATGGATCCGCCGGGAGAGCTTGGTGACAAAACAAGTTTGGACTCACAGCCTGAGGAGCCTGTTCCCCAGCAGTCCGCTGTGGGCTTTGTGCTGATGTTGGCTGAGGTGACAGAGCCCCTTTGGGAGCAGGTGACGGCCTGCAGTGGGGGCTGTGCGGGCACACTCGCACGCTGCGTGGTGTGCAGGCGGCTGTGGGACCTCAGTGGGGTCGGACGGGTGACTTGGCGCTCTCCCCGTTAACTTTCTTCTGTCGTTTCTACTGAGATCAGTTGGGCAGAGGTCTCTGTGCTAGCTGTTTCCTGTAACTTCTGCGGCTGGCGTTTTCCCCAAGGACAGGAGCCGCAGCTCTGCTTTGTTGGGAATCAGTTTGGGAACGCCGTTCGTAGAAGCTCTGGATTCCGTTTATGTAATGAAACGGCCCGGGTAGCTCGGGCAGGGGTGTCTGGAGCCGCAGCTGCTCCGCAGGTACATGCTCTCCTCAGTCCTTCGCATGTTCCCAAGTTCTAGGCACAGCATCGCAGGCACGCCGGTCACAGCAGAGTTCTGCAACAAAGGGAAGTGAGCCAGCCAAAGTAACCGAACTGCGCCGCTTTCCGTGCGCCCGAGTGCACGCGGAACTGCGGGCAACGTTTTAAGTCCTGCTTTCAGGCAGACCTGGCAGTTCCTCCCGCTGCTTGCGCGGCCTCACTTCTAGGCTCAGGGTAAGGGTGCGAGATCGCATGTGCTCTCAGACACACTCTCCCCCAAATGCTTCCAAGAGGTGGCCACAAGAATCTCAACAGCTGCTACGCTGGGCGGCCCGAGACTGCGTGTGATGGAAAACGCGCACCCTGCCGCGGCTGTTGGCGCCGTACTGGTTTACAGGCTGGGTGAAAATAACCTCCGAGGGTGTGTGCGCAGTGATGGGGGGCAGGACTCTTCCTGCAGACCCGTGCTTCCCAGCTGCGAGGGTGTCCAGCCCCCAGTCCTGCCATGCTCCCCGAAGCCTTTGGCGCCATCGCTGTGTGACGGGGAGGAGGCGTGAGCTGGTCAGCTGAGGAATGCTCTTGGGGAACGTGCCGTCTGTTGCACGGCTCCAGCGGAGAAGGACGCCTCGGCGTGTCTGCGCCCGCACCGCCCTTGCTGCTGCTGTGCTCTGCTGTGGTCCTTGAGCTGCCGTGACTTCTCTGCACCAGAGAAGGACAACGGTCGGGGATGAACGCTTCCTACTGCTTCCTATAAGCTGTGTGGCATGGCTGACACGC